AATCCATTAATTATATAATAGGGTTATCGGCTTAATAATAATATTATTATAGGATTTTACAAAGTAATATTTGTCACTGCTGAAATCATCATTCCTGATACATCATACATTCATACATTCGTACGTACATATGTAAAACTTCCTCATACAGGTGTACAACCACAACGAAACTGTACGAACTCAATGGTACGAAGTCAGTCGCACGTATGTACATGCGTATGTACATACGAAGATTCCTCTCATACAGCGAAATTGCACAACCCTGGCTACAGTGGTTGTTGTGTAATGATCAAATATGTAATTGCCAATAATTTCTTTACACATTATATATTATTGAAATCAATGCGAGGCAGAGCTTGCTGGGTAATTATAAGATCCTTGTCAAGATAGCAAACGATTGGTGTCTTGCTTTTCGTGATCAGTAATATTAATATTAATATAAATATATAATTACATGAAGACGTCAAAGCAACACACCGTTGAATATGAAACATTTCGATGTACGATGTTTGATTATCGGAAATTTAAAGATGTTGAAGCACGCACGCTGCCTCGAAGTCATTCTCACATGTTCCTCTTGTACATAAGGCTAGTCTGACTTGCATTCCTCGATGATACAATGATGTTGCTAAATTCTAGGGGGGTTCGTTTTGCCCTGGAATGCATCAAGACAATACAGAGGAGGTTAGTGACCCTGAAATTTGCATTTGGGCCCTGATGTTAGGAAGAAGGCTGTAAAATAAAATGGTTCAGATTTTTTTTTGTATGTATAAATTAATCATTTTCATAAATTTTCTGTTTCTCTTTAATTTTATTTGACCAACTAATTTGTTATTTAAAAATGGGGTAGGATGTTGGTGAGTTGACATGCCACCAACAAGACAGCAACCCAGGACTCACAACTCTGAATCCAGGGAAAATCCAAAACAGCAACCCAGGTTGCAACCTCCTGAGTTGGAGAATTTTAAAACCAATTGTAGACACCAACTTTATTCTACAGGGGTATGACACAAAGCAATCATCACAGAAGCACCAGCTATCAGTGATTAATGCTAAGTCTGATATGAGAGGAAGATAAAGAATGTTTTATCCAAAGCCTTCCAACATATGGATGACCTTCACCCGTGGGAGAAATTTCACAATTATGAGGGTGTGTGAAAGCACTAGTTTGCATGTTTGTGACAGGAAAATTTTAATCATATATCTGACAACTGCAATCAACATCGGATTTATTATTCATAAGTAACCACACAATGGGAAGAGAAATATTTTTTTTGATCCTCCCTATTTATTGTGAGCCCCAGAAATCTGGTAGACACGCATCATTAAAAAGTTTCATTATGCATGGCCTTGGTGTTATTAATACTTGGGTGATGCAATTGATTGTTATGCCAATGATAACATCAAATACCTTGCATTCTATTTAGACTCGGTAAATACAAGTCTTAGAGCAACTACAACATCAAGAGCAGTAGATCATAAAAAGAAGCAAGTTGCAGATGAACATGAGAAATATGTAGAGAATGCACTTGCAAAATATTCAAAAAATGCATTCTTGTTGAATGTTGATGATTATCATAGATTCACGTTCAGAGAAAATATGATACTACCAGTATATCAAGCACAAAATCAGTATCCTTTAATTACTAAAACTTTGTTACTTTTAGGAAACCATCTACAAACATTTTTTGCAATTACGTATATTGTGATTGTACTAACTATACTAATTTGAATAATTGTAGTGTACTCATGTTATCACAATCATTGTCTACAAAGGTGTCAATCTAAATGTTTGATACCTTGGACTATCTTCAAGTCGAAATCAAAAAAAATGTCAACACAATAAAAGAAAGTATGATGAAAAATATTAAATGGAAATGAATTTATCGAAAATAACAAAAATGCAGTTGATGATGATCCGAGTAATGTTGAATCAGCAACAGATGACAGCAACAATGGAAATTTTATTAGAACATGCAAAAAAATTTTTTGAGTTGTAAATTTTGTTTTTATTAAATAAATTTGATTGATTTTTCATACATTGTTCATTTTTCGTCTCAATCATGCATCTTAAATTTGTTGTGTTTACAATAATTTCGTTGACATTCATTATATTAAGGTTGTTTTGATTATATCGAGAGATACGGTCAAGAGAAGAGTTAGGAAGAGAGTTATTCTTCGACCAAGTCAAGAACCAACCCTTTAAATACATTTTTGAGTAATGCAATTTAATTTATTAGACTATTTCAATGGTTGTCGCATGATTGCTTCCAACTTCTTAAATTCGTTAACAAAACAATTGTTGGTGAAGTGATTGTTGGCAAAATGAATCAAACCCATATTTATTTCTACGTTATCAAATTCACAATTTTAATTGGTCAATCAATAAATTGCATGGGTTAAAATTTTGTGTTAATTTTGTGCTCCCAAAACGGTCTACGGGGTAATTATTAATTAGTTTCTTTTCACTATCTGAAGAAAAATTTACACTGATACTTATTTCTCTGTAGATTCTTTTATTATCCTTTTTACTTCACTGAAGTTTAAAAAAATGGCATTTACCCAACTTCCTTTGTCAACTACTCCAAATATGTAATCTGCTGTTGAAGCACTATCTGCAACATTTTTAAGAGTCTTCAAATGATTCTTGATCTTTTTACTTTTAGTTTTCCCTTCTCCATATGAATCAATCCAAGTTTCAAGAATATCCTTACAAATTCCACCTTCATAATTTTCTCAAAATTTAATTTCTTTTGTAATTACTCCTTCTTAGTTTTATCACATGTGATGAGTGAGTTCATTATCTTTCTTGCTCATTTTGCTCAACACAAGAATAGATAAATAAGATAAAAACTTTTTTATAGTGTAACCAATTATTGTTGGGAGAGCATGTTAATTGATGATAACAATATAAATTTATGATTATGTGGATCAGAATGAATTGGCTATTACTAACGAATTAGTTTTATTAGTGAATAATTTTGGTTTAGTGATTTAAGAAAAACGTTTTATTTAGTCGAAACTAATTTATTAACTTATTTCTAAGTTAATTTTTTATTATAAAAACTTTATTACAAAGTTATTATAACTAAGACAAAGTTTTCACAATGTTTTTTTACAAGCATATCAAATTTGAGCTTCTTATATACAATTAAATTAATTAGTAACAACTTCATTGCAATCTATTATTCTAACCGCGATTATCGCACTTTAATTGCGACGTAACATTCTAACGCGATGCTAATTTCGACGTTATACGAATAAAAATAAAAACGTAATACAAATAAAATAGTAAGAATGTAAATAAATATGAAAGAAATGAAAATATAAGGGATAAATAAATGTAGATATAAAAATAAAGAAAAATAAAGTAAAAATAGAAATAAAAGACTTGATTCGGAATTAGGGTATTTCGACCAACAAATCAGCGTTAAATCCTAATTTTGGTAACAATAGTATAAAAGTCCGCAGAAGAATATATAATGAAAATTTTTTTATTTAAAAAATCTGTCTTTTTTTATGTCAGTTGATTTTATGCCATTAAACAAAAACCTATTTTCAAATAATAAAGAACATTAAACCAAAAATAAAAAAATACAACTAAAACCTGTTGATGAAAGTAATATGAGTCATCAGGAAATTAAAATTTACGTAAGTTACACGAATTTTACAGTTGTAAAATCCACACAATATTACGGGGCCCGCCGTAAGTTTATGTAATGTAAAAATTATAAAAATTATGCAAAATGTTTTTAAAAAATTACGCACACAAATTTATGCAAAAATTGCGTTTTTTTTACAGTGCGGATCATCTATACTCAAAAGTTAAAATATTATGTGATCCACACATCGGATTTTAAAAAACTTACCACCATTCAATTCAGCTTTAAAAGGGGAGTCTATTAATCTAAAAAAAATTTGTCTCGAATTTTCTTTTCATAGATTTTTTAAATTTGAAAGTTAGGCTCAGAAGTGCAACAATAATTTTCGTGTTACAATATTTTGAATCTCACGACCTAATTTGGTAATGATTTTCTTTTAATGTTAAACTTTTTTGTTGTAAAGAACTTTTATTTATTAATAAAAAAAAGGAAATAA